TTTACATAGTCTTCGATTGTTTTAAGCCCAAGGTTGTACATATACTCAGCCATTTTTTTATAATCGTAAACATTATAGAGTACTTTACGTTCAAACATCTTTTGAAATTGACTAGCTTCACGTCGTACGATATTTAGACCCCTAACTAAATTGTTGGAATAACGATTCATGTTGAACAAACAAACCATCTCATCAGTTTCTTCTAGGTACTTTTCAACTAATAGATCTGGTACTAAATCTGGATTATAGATTTCAAAATGCTGTGATAAAAACCTTTTGGTTTTACACCATGAATTATCCCATTCGAATCTTGGATTTTCCATTGAGAGTCCAGCGTATCTTTTCTTACCAAACGATGTCATAAACACCAAAACCTTTTCTAATACAACCTTGATCATTTCACATCCATCACGAGCATTCAGTTCATTAAACTCTTTAGCGATCTTGCTTGCTACCAGATGAGTTTCTTTGGTCACATCATTATAGAAATCATAAAGGTACTTGGTGTATTCCGTGATAGTGCTTGCATTTCTGAATAAGTCCACATATTCATTAATAATTTCCTCAAGTCTAGCTTGTTGCATCATCAATAAAGTAGAGTCGGTATCACCATATACAACACGACATCCTTGACCTTTAATAAAATTGGCTAATTTATGAACCTGTTCTCTACCAGTAGATGTAACACCCGCTGATATCTTTACATCACCGATAATCGATGATGTTAACCCTGTCAACCCATAGATAGAATTCGCTAATACCTTGAACGCTAGTTGCTGTTGGTCATAAAGACTGTGGTAAAATGATCCTTCTTCATATTGCTTTTTCATTTTCTTGGCCTCATTTCTTTTTTTGATAAGGATTTCTAGTAAACTTGTCAATGACCCAATGTGTTCACTCCTGTCTAAAAAGGTGATTTTATCCAAGATATCACCCTTATCATTAGTGATATTAATCATGCGAGTTTTTATAGATCCATCAAGATATCTTTTTTTACCCGATGATATATCATATTCATATACCTTGGTATCAGGCGACATATTATACTGCATCATTATACTGGGATACAAAGATGAAAAATCCAAAGTTGCTACAGGTAGAAGATAGAATCCCTTGTTAGGGTCAAATACAGAACCACCCTGGTATCCTTTCTTTTTCTTTTTCTTTCCTCCTCTGTCCTCATTATCATTATCCCAAACTCTAGGTGGATATGCAATAGAAATCGTGTCGGGGTAATACTTGTTTATGTGTCCATTAAACGAGCATTGAAATAACATCTCACTTGAACCTCTATGTGGTTGAGCAAATTCACAATTTGCCAAATTACTTAACGTATTGTACCATAACCACTTGTGAACCTTTACAAGTAATTCAACGACCCTGGCACAGTCGTTGAAACAGTATAATAAAATCTTATCATTTATTTCTATATCTGGGTTATCCAGATTATGAATAGCATTATGCAATGCTAAATTCATATCATCAACAGTAATATTATCTTTTGACGGAAGTTCTAAAGTATTTAAACAACTATTCAAACTTGCGAACCGAGTATCACCAGGAAATTGTTGTTTAAACATTAACATGTTATCCATAACCATGGTTCCATCTATAGCAATATATTGAACTTTCACACGCTCAGATTGTGATATCTTAACCTCTGTTGCTACAATCTTTTTATAACTTAGTAATTCCGTCAAAGATAGCCATTTACCACCACTGGCAATCTGGTAGAATCTTTCAATCATGTTAAGATGCTCTAGACGTTTTATGATAAACTTGTAATCGTACCCACAAATATTATGACCTGTTGATATATCTGGTTTCTTTTCTGCCCATAGCCTTGCAATAAACTCATAAAACTCTTTTTCATCCTTAGCCCGTTGTATCTCAATTGGGATATTGTGGTTGGTCATCTTTTTAGTCATGAACTTGTCAACATTGTTTACAGTGCTGGTCACCATATCATCTAGTGACATATTAGAATTTAATTCTAAAGACTCGAAAAATTCATTCGGATCAATGAAATGACGTCCTTGCTCTCGATTTATCAAGTTGTTAATTTTTAAGATTAGTTCTTTGTCAGAACTATATTTGATAGGTAATTCATCGTTTACCAACAAGATAACAGATACGAATTCTGGTACTGTTGTATCACCTC